CTGCAGGTAGTAAGAAGAGTTTTGTTAAGAGCTCTTATACAGTGGAGCAACCCAAACCACTGACTGCCATATTACCGAGTGACAAACCTGCCTTACCTGCTCTACCATCTAATGTTCCTTTTAAGAAATTGAGTACTGAAGATTTACGCAAAAAGAGGGAGTTAGGATTGTGCTACACTTGTGATGAGAAGTGGAATTCTCGCCATAAGTGTCCTGCCAAACTTTTCTTGTTGGTGGGTGACGTTGATGATCAATTAGAGGAACCTGAGGAACAGATTGTGTGGCAACCTGAGGTAGCACACGAAGATAGTCATGAAGCTGCCTTACATTCTTTAAAAGGGGAAATGAATCCTCGAGCCCTTCAGTTTCGGGTTACATTCAAAGGTCAGTTCATTGCCATTCTTATTGACTCTGGAAGTTCTCACAATTTTATCCAGAAACAACTAGTGGATGCTGCAGGTTTGTCTACTATAAAAGTTCCTAGAATACGTGTTTTTATGGGTAATGGGGAGTTCCTAGTGTGTGATAGGAAATGTTTGAATGTGCCATTGGTGATCCAAGGTTATAGTTTCTGTGTTGATCTGTGGGTTATCAATTTGTCTGGATTTGAAGTGATTCTGGGTATTTCTTGGCTGAGTAATTTGGGCAGGGTCATTCATGACTATTCTGAGTTGTCTATGGAGTTTGTGTATCATGACAAAAGGGTGATTTTGCATGGAGACTTCATTGGTCGAAAGGAGAAAACTGTTGTTCCACAATGTTTAACATTCACAGGTGAAGTGATGCAGTTGGTTCCTGGTATTGTACCTGAATTGTTGGCCTTGAAGGATAAAATTCCTGTTGCTGTGTGGGAGATTTTGTTACAGTTTCAATCAGTTTTTCAATTACCTCAAGGGCTGCCACCTTCGAGGAATTGTGATCATGCAATACATTTAGTTGCAGGAGCTCAACCAGTCAATGTGAGGCCATATCGATATGCTCACCATCAAAAGGAGGAAATTGAAAAGCAAGTTTCAGACTTATTGGCTTCTGGCTTCATTAGGGAAAGTAGAAGTCCCTTTTCTTCTCCTGTCTTGTTGGTTAAAAAACATGATAATTCTTGGCGAATGTGCATTGACTATAGGGCTTTGAACAATATTACAATCAAGGACCGTTTCCCCATCCCTACCATAGATGAGTTATTGGATGAACTTCAAGGAGCAAGGGTGTTTACCAAGCTTGATTTGAGGAGTGGCTATCATCAGATTTTACTAGTTCCTGAGGATACATCCAAAACCGCATTTAGAACTCATGAGGGGCATTATGAGTTCTTGGTAATGCCTTTTAGTTTAACCAATGCACCCTCCACCTTCCAGGAAGCCATGAATCACATGTTTAAACCTTATCTCCGCAAGTTCATCATTGTTTTCTTTGATGATATCCTTATATATAGTGGATCAATGGGGGATCATTATAATCACCTTGTCTTAACTTTAAGTTGTTTGCAGGAAAATCTCTTCATGGTTAAAGTCAGCAAGTGCTCCTTTGCATTGAACGAAGTGGAGTATTTAGGCCACTTGGTTTCGGGTTCTGGTGTGAAGGCTGACCCAAAAAAAATTGAGGCAATGCAAAACTGGCCCCTACCAAAAACCATCAAACAATTGAGGGGATTTATTGGTCTCACAGGTTACTATCGAAGGTTTATTAGGCATTATGCTTCTATTGCCTCTCCTCTCACAGACATGATGAAGAAGGATGCATTTTTCTGGTCAGAAGAGGCTGCTACGGCTTTTGAAGTTCTCAAAAAGGCAATGACAGAGACTCCAATCTTGATTCTTCCTGATTTTTCCTCTCCTTTTATTGTTGAGACCGATGCTTCAGCTATAGGAATAGGAGCTGTTCTGAAACAACAGAATCATCCTATAGCCTTTTTCAGCAAAAAACTTGGGCCAAGGATGCAGGTTGCTTCCACATATGTCAGGGAGCTGTATGCTTTGACCGAAGCTGTTAAGAAGTGGAGACACTATCTGCTAGGTTCTAAGTTTATAATTCGCACAGATCACAGAAGCTTGAAGGAGTTGCTCACGCAAACTGTGCAAACTAATGAACAGCAGAAATATGCCTACAAACTTATGGGATATGATTTCACCATTGAGTATAAGCCAGGCACAACTAATGTAGTGGCTGATTCCTTATCTAGATGCTTTGAAGAGGAACCTGCGGGTATGAATTTCACCCTGCTGACTGAAGTCACATTTCCTTTAATCGATCAGATTAGAGCTGAAAATGACTCTGATCCTGCGTTGAAGGATATTCGAGTGAAACTGCAGAATAATGAGTTGACCAATGCTGATATAACTGATAGGAATGGTATCTTGTACCATAAAAATCGTTATTTGCTTAGTGTAACTTCTGCTTTGAAAAATCTTATCCTACAGGAAGCACATTCCACTTTGACAGGAGGTCATGCTGGAATTACTCGAACATTCCTCCGGCTGTCTGCTTCCTTTTATTGGAAGACTATGAGGAAAGATGTTCAGGACTTTGTTGCTAAGTGTTCTACTTGTCAAATGATCAAAAATACCACTTCCCCTCCTTTGGGGCTGCTCCAACCCTTACCTGTTCCTGATGGAGTCTTTGAAGACTTGACTATGGACTTCATCACTGGTTTACCTTGGTCTAAAGGATTCAATGTAATACTAGTAGTAGTAGACCGTTTAACAAAGTTTGCGCATTTCGGTGCTTTGGCTACTCCTTACACTGCTACCAAAGTAGCTTCATTGTTTTGTGATATGGTGATCAAATTGCATGGTTTCCCTAATACCATAGTCTCTGACAGAGATTCAATCTTTTTGAGCCATTTTTGGACTCAGTTGTTCAAGAACAGTGGTACTAAGTTGAGGACTAGCACTTCCTACCATCCCCAAACAGATGGACAATCGGAGGTCACCAACCGTTACTTGGAGCAGTACCTTAGAGCATTTTGTCATGAGGAAAATCATAAATGGGCATTGTATCTAGGATGGGCTGAGTACCATTATAACACAGCTGTCCATTCTTCAATTGGAATGACCCCTTTTCAAGCCTTATATGGAAAAGTTCCATCTATGATTCCATCCTACAGTAAAGGGTCAGTGCGTGTGGAGGCTGTTGATGCCACTTTAAGTCATAGGGATGACTTGCTGAGGTACCTTAAGCATCAGCTGCAGGGTGCTCAAAATAGAATGAAAGTTCAATCTGATAAGCACAGGAAGGATGTTATTTTATCAGTAGGTGATTTGGTGTTGGTGAAGTTGCAGCCTTATAGGCAAATCACTCTAGCTAAGAGACAGTGTCAGAAACTTTCCAAGCGATACTTTGGCCCCTATCCTATTGTTCGAGTGCTAAGTCCTGTAGCTTACAAAGTTGGGCTACCTGACAGTTGTCGCATCCACTCTTCTTTCCACATCTCAGTGCTCAAACCGTTTAAAGGGGATAGTTCCACTACTGCCGTCCCATTACCTGAACTTACCAAGGAGAACCAACCAGTCCAGGTCCCATTGGCTACTGTTATGTCCCGAGTTATTCCAGTAGGACCAGAGCAACACAGACAGTGGCTTATTCAATGGACCAGCTCACTTCCTGAAGATGCTACATGGGAGTATGAAGATGATCTTCTCAGGTTTTATCCAGAATTTCCATTACCTCAGCTGAACCTTGAGGACAAGGTTCTTATTGCAGCAGGGGCTAATGATACGTGTGAAGGGCCCAAATTAAAAAGAAGAGCTGGAGCACCATCTTGGGCTAAGGATTACATTGTGTAATCAGCCCAAGATGGCCCAATGTTACTGAATAGTCTATTATAGTTAGCAAGTGTATTGTATGAGTCCTTAGCAATGTGTAATATGAACCTTTAGTAGTCTGTTGCTTATGTGGCAATTGTACAAGGCAGTTACACGGTTAGCAAGATGCGTGTCCTATAGAAAGGGACTTGCATGTTATTCTGAGGTATTGAATTGAAATATACAGATTCTCGAATTTCTTTCCTCTCTTGTTTTCCATTGTTCTTTTGATTTCGCCTGAGATATCCAAATAGGATCCGCTATCCTATCAATATATATATAAAACTTTGTATCTTGATCTTAAGTAATAAAAAATTTACCTTTCATGTCATGGTTATAATTTATATTTTTCCCATCCATTCTATTTTTACATAAAAATTCGATTTTCACAATATTAATCTTAATCGCAAGGTGGAGGTAAGGTCAGCATAATGACGCTGGAAGTAAGTTGTTGCTCTTTTCCAAGGCATGTAGAATACGATGAAACACGTGGTCGTTAAGCTTTTTTACAAAGCATGCTATATCAAATGAGTTTTTATTTATTTATTTATTTATTTTAAAAATTAAAAAACTATTTTTCGAAACGGATTTCAAACGAGCGGAATGTTTCTGACCAATAAAACACCAATGATCACAATATAAACAACGTTGACATTATTTTGAAAAGAATATTAAAAGAATTAAAAATTGAATCAATAAAAAGTCATTATTATCATAAATTTCTAATATAACTCCATATTAAATAAAGTCAACTTAGAAGTGGATACCAAAAATAAAATGTCAACTTAGAAGTGACGTACTAACATATCAGCATTGTTTTTTTTTTTGTGTGAATACATAAATAAATAAATCAATAAATCAATACTAATATGAGAAAAGTAGCGCTGATAGCATGCCTAAAAACACGCCCATGATATTGTAATTGATTTGTGTCTCCAAGGCAAATCAATCCCAATTCCTGCCACAAGTCCCCAACACCACAATGCCAATATAATGCATTGACGTCAACTTGGGCCATCCTATTTTGCCAGCCACAAGTCCCTCCTTTATCAATCCCAATGATCATGTGTTCCTTTTGTACAAGACACCAAGTTCTGGATCATTGCACCCAACACAATGAGCAACTGAAATTGCTCTTATTTGAAAACCATAAGGGCTTAGCCTAGGAGTCTCAGACCTACACTCTACTAAGACTACAACATGGAAACCTGGTTTCTGATCCTAGTTTCTTTCTGTTTCTGTGTGCTTATCAGGGCCATCCTCTGCCTTTATTCATCCACCACCAATACCAACAGCAACAAAAACAAAAGCATCAAAATCCCACCAGGACCTCCGTTCATCCCCATCATCACAACCATCTTATGGCTACGAAAACTCTCAAATCTTGAGCAAGTTCTTCGAGGCCTCCACGCCAAATATGGTCCCATCATCAGTATCCGAGTTGTCTCCCGTCCATCCATATTCATCCGCGATCGAACCCTCGCCCACCACGCCTTAATCCAAAACGGTTCTCACTTCTCCGACCGCCCCAAACCTCTTCCCACAGTAAAAGTCTTCACCAGCGAAAAACATAACTTCAGCACCGCCTCCTACGGCCCCACATGGCGCATCCTCCGCCGCAACCTCACCTCCGAGATACTTCACCACTCTCGGGTCAAATCCTTTTCCTGTGCCCGCAAGTGGGTCCTGGAAACCCTCCTCGCGCTATTGAAATCCGATTCGGAATCAAACGATTCTATACGGGTCAAGGACCACTTTCAATATGCCATGTTCTGCTTGCTTGTGTTAATGTGTTTCGGTGAAAGAGTTGACGATAAGAAAGTCAAAGACGTCGAGCGTGTCCAGCGCAAACTGCTTCTCAACCTTCATAGATTCAACATGCTAAATGTGTGGCCAAAACTCACTGCGATTTTGTTCCGCAAACGTTGGGAGGAGTTGTTGCGACTTCGTAAGGAGCAAGAAGATGTGTTCGTTCCGCTGATACGAGCGAGGAAGCAAGCTAAGGAGGGTAAAGTAAGCGATGACGTAAACGCTGTCGTTTCGTACGTGGATACTTTGTTGGATTTGGAGTTGCCTGAGGAGACACGCAAGTTGAACGAAGGGCAAATGGTTAGCTTGTGTTCGGAGTTTCTGAACGCGGGAACGGATAATACTTCCACTGCATTGCAATGGATTATGGCGAATTTGGTGAAGTACCCGCATGTGCAAGAGAAGCTTGTGGAGGAGATTAGGGAGCTGGTGGGTGATAGAGAGGAGAAGGAAGTGAAAGAGGAAGATTTGGTGAAAATGGGGTATCTCAAAGCTGTGATTTTGGAAGGGTTGAGGCGTCACCCACCGGGGCACTTTTTGTTGCCACATGCGGTGACTGAGGATGTTGTTTTCAAAGGTTACTTGGTGCCTAAAAATGGGACTGTGAATTTCTTGGTGGCAGATATTGGGTGGGACCCAGAGGTTTGGGAAGATCCTATGGCGTTCAAACCAGAGAGGTTCTTGAACCAGAACAAGGCTCAAGTTGAGGCGTTTGATTTAACTGGAAACAAAGAGATCAAGATGATGCCGTTTGGAGCAGGGAGGAGGATGTGTCCTGGCTATAATTTGGCAATGCTCCATTTGGAATACTTTGTTGCCAATTTGGTTTGGCGTTTTGATTGGAAGGTTTCGGAAGGAGGTCATGTTGATTTGACAGAAAAAAAGGAATTCACTACGGTCATGAAAAATCCATTGCATGTTCATATTTCTCCAAGGATCTAGACTCTATGTAAATAAGTTATCGGTTGATGGAAATAATTCCATGTATAGTGACCCCTCACAAGTTAGCTGTTTTCTTTTTGGACCTAATGAAATGTTACATAATATTTTATGAATTTTTTAAATTCCATTAGCCATCTATAGACTCGAAATTGAATAATAGGACATGCAGACATACACATAAGATCATATACTTATATATTTATCTAGAAAGACGCAAGGTTATGCAGGATTAATTATTTTAGATAAGAATGCTTGAATCAATTTTGTACCGTTGGATCTGTATAACGAAGTTCTCATATAAATGAACAGAACAATAGAATACTTCTCCCAAATCTATCAAATTATGTCCAATTTTGAGTACACTTTAATATGATTTCGTGTAATTCCGATTATTGAAAAATGTTACTTTATAATATAACTATTCGCTTTTGCTCTTCTTAGTTGAGTCTAATTGATATATTATCTTTGTGTATTTAACTATTCACTATCTTAGCTTTGTACATGCTGAATCTCTTTAGAATCTTCTCAATGTATTTTTCTTGACTCAGCCACAGTAGCTTTTTAGGTCGGTCTTGGGTAATTTTGATTCCGAGTGTCTACTTGTAGGGCCGATGTCCTTCATCGCAAAGGACGAGCTTAACGCCTTCATTAGGGCGACTATCCTCGTCTTGTCTTGCCTTACAATTAGCATGTCGCCAAAATAAAACTGCAAAAGTAGAAAATCTCTAGCTTTATACTTCTTGACAAACATACAGAGGTCGGCTTCAATCTTCACAAACTTGTTCAGTTATAAAGGATTCAAATTTTTTGTACCACTAACGAGAGCTTTTTTTAAGCCATATAGGCTCTTTTTCAAATGGCAGACTAAATCTTCTTGTCCCGGAGTTTGGAACCTTTCAGATTGCTCTATATATATATATATATATCTCTTCTTCTAGGTCTCCGTGAAAGAATGTGTTCTTCACATCTATTTGTTATACTTCGAGCTCCATTGAAGTCGTCATGGCTAACACGGTTCAGACCGAAATCATTTTCACCATCAAAGAAAAATCTCTTCAAGTTAACTCCTTTATTTTGATTATAACCTTTCACTGTAATCCGAGCTTTGTATCTCGGTTTCTAGCCATTTTCTTCATGCTTAATTTTGTAAATCCACTTGTTCTTTAGAGTTCGTCTTCCTTGAGGCAACACGGTTAATTTATAAGTCAATTTTTCATGCAAGGACTTTGTCTCCTCCTAGATTGCCTTTTCTCATTCTTCCTTATCTGAGCTCATCATAGCTTTGTGGTTTTTCTTCTTTAGCAACAACATTATATTCATCAGAAAGGTACCTTGTAGAAGGTTGTCTCACTCGTGTAGAGTATTTGGGTTGTTCTTCAGGTTGAGAATCCGAATCATCATGCTCATCTTGGACTTCATTATCTCGGATCTTAACATCAACTTCAATAGTTGGCTGTTCATGTTGCTGGTCATCTTCATCATTTTCTTGATTTTCTCCCCCTGCTTCAGCTCAAACTAGAGGGACGGGTTTTTTGTAACACCCCGTGTGCACCCGGTGTATTAAACATACATATGGAGTAGCGCTGCTAAATAAATGCAGAAGCTAACTTTTTCTTTTTGTAAGAACCTGCACCGTTAATTAAGGAAATTAATTAATCAATTATGTTAAAATAGGAAATGATTTCATAATTGAACCTAATAATTATTAAGAGGCTTTAATAATTATGATAAGTGATTAAGAATGCTGAAAGTCGCTTTTCGGAAGAAAAGTGCAGATACCGGTTCTGCTAGTCGGTACAAATGCGTACCGAAAAAGTATCCCAGAAAATTAAAGTAAGTGCATGATAATTACTAGAATAATATGTAGGACTTGTAAAACGAGTTTCAAGTTAAAATAATGAGAACTGGTGCCAGAAACTGATACTGGCTATGAAAAGCGCGTACCGGAAAGGTGCTCCGAAAAATAAAATAAAATATGATAATTCTTGTAAAATTGAGTAGGTTAAGAATCCAAAGTTTGGGATTAAAATGCTAAGCGTAGCAATTAAAGTTAATACTGCGTGTTTTATTCTTAAGTGGCTATATAAGTGCATTTTGCACAAAACCCTAGATAACCACCAGCTGCTACGTGACTCTTTTGGAGGGGCTGGACTAATGCTACTGTTCCATTGCCTTCTTACTCCATTTCTTGCTCCAAGTTGTCACCTTTACACCATCTCTTCATCTCTAAACACCACCACCTTGGGTGGGTTGGTCTTGTGAGGTTGTGAGTGACTTCCTTGCTGAGTTGTAGCTTCTGGTTGAGGGTGAGGAGGTGCTGACTTTGAGAGTTGGTTTGTGGGAGCTTGGAAGTGGTATTTTGAGCTTCAAGTGTGAACCTTTGTGAAGAAAAACCTAGACTTGTTGCTCCATTTTCGTGTCCTTGTGTGGTCTGAACTTTGAGGCTTGTTGGAGAGCTCCAAGAGCACCTCTTGGTTCTGTTTCAAGCTTGGGTAAGTGGCTCTATCATTGAACTTGAGTTTAAGTGTCTAAAAATGGAACCTTGATGCATGTTATGGGCTTAAGATGATAACCTAACGTTGGGTAATGTCAAACACACCTAGGAATGCATGTTTAGGCTCCTGTAATCGATAAAAGTTGGACCTTTAAGCTGGAATTTCGCGAAATGCAGAATCTGGGTTCTGTCGCAAAATATCCGGATATTTTGTTGTGAATATCCGGATATTGATATCCAGATATGGATATCCGGATATTGATATGCGGATATGGAGTTCTGGATATCCGGATATTGATATCCGGATATGGCCAGTGAGATATCCGGATATTGATATCCGGATATGCCTCTGACGAATATCCAGATATTCTGAGATTTCGTAGAACAGTAGTTGTGCTGTGTGTACAGTAGGCTATTGGGGGTTTGTGGACCCTAGATTGATGAAGTCAGAATCATGTGATTAAGGGCTTATGGCTTGTGTGAAGCCTTAAGACGTAAAACGTAATGGAAAGGTGCATGTTTATTGATATATTATAGGTCCATAACAGATTGTGAATCTGCTGTGTTTGGACTTTGAGCTGTGGACTCTTGGCTTTGGGTGTTAGGTTGCAAGGTAAGCTTTCGTGTCCTTGGTTTAGCCATGTTGTGGTTCCACCATGTCCCATGGGGGTATAGTTATATGCATGCTGTGTTACATGCTTTTGATGTTTTGGAAATCCTGTTGAGCTGTTATATGCTAGTGCTTTTATGATATGCATGTGGTGTTCCACCTATACGGTAAGCCTGAGTATGTAGTACATACAATATGGTGAGGCTGTGGGTGAGGTGCAAGCGGTGTTCCTTGTACTACATGTAGGTATAGACGTATTCCTGCATTTCTCTGGCCAGTAGAATAGTGATAAACACACATGGCATGAATATCTGTTGCACTGCATAGTTTTGAGAACTTATGTTGAATTAATGCTTTTAGAACGTATATTGCACATGTAAGTGAGCTTGGGGTGGAAGATCCTTGAGGACCCCTTGTCTTACTGAGATTTCTAGTTTAGAGATCTCACCCCACGTTTGGGGAATGCTTATTTCAAGATCAGGTAATGTGGGGGTTGAGGCCCCAAGCGGCAGGAGGCCGGAGCTGAGTTAGATATTGATGATATTACATGCTGACATGTTGGAAGCTGGTTATGCTTGCTGCTTTTATGCGTTTAGCTTCATTTTATGATTTTGGATTATCTTGTTGAGGCTCTGTCGTTTATGTTGTTGATTTGGTGAGCATGGGGATTGTCCATGCCACGTAGACTTGTTATGTCTTGTTTTAGTTGGAGTTGTAATAATGTATCAGGATTATTGTCTGGATTACGTGATGTAATGCCGTGACTTTAGATACTCACTTTATTTATATATTGAGGTATTTCAGTAGATGTCTTATTGCAATTTACATATTGGCATTGTTTTTATGAAATTGATTAAGTAATCAACTTGGCTAAGTATGATGACGTCATAATTGAAAAGAAAAAGATATTCCGTATTTTTAATTAAGCGCAACTTAATACGATAATATGATAACATTACCGGGTATACACAGGGTGTTACATTTTATGGTATCAGAGCGACGGTTCTAGGGAAAAGCCTGTATGTATTGCAATGATTAAGATGTTTGGTTGTGTCTGTCTTGTGTGTTTGCTCCGTTGGGCTTTATTATGATGATGCATATGTGATCACACTGCGTGGGCCTGATCAACTCATAATGTGTGTAACTTGTGCAAGAGTCATGGTAATACCCAGGAGAACACGAGAGACTGTTGAGGGTCAATCCGACCCAAATCCTAACTGCATTGGCTGAGATGCATGAGGCCACTAGATTGGCCAACGTGGCAATGATGAACGCTGCTAGAGAAGCGAACCAGAAGGCCACGGAGGATGCTCTTGAGGCAAATCGGTTGGCGAACATGCCTTGATGAGGGCCATGTTGGAGGAGATGAGAGTGGGTCCAGCTGTTGGTCAGTTCCCACCGCCACCACCTCCACCGCCACCACCGCCGCCTCCACCTAGTGTTCAGGATGAGACCCTGAGTCACATTGGTAGTGCTACACATGATGTTGGGGTGATGGAACCCTTTGTGGAGCCCACTGAGGACAGAGATACGATTGATCGCCGGCTAAATGCTTTCCGTAAGGATAAGCCACCTACTTTCGATGGGTCTTATGATCCCATTGCTGCTGCAAGATGGCTTCAGGCGCTAGACAAGATCTTTTGGGGTCATGCAGTGTTCCGATCCGCAGAAGTTGATGATCGTTACTTACATGCTAGAGGGCGATGCCCATGAGTGGTGGACGAACACTTCTCATGTCTACGAGATGCAGGGCCATGTGATGACTTGGCCATTCTTCGAGGATTGTTTTCTGGGTCACTACTTCCCCTACGATGCGCAGGAGAGGAAGCAAGGAGAGTTTGACAGGTTGGTTCAGGGCTCGTTGTCTGTTGACGAGTACCTGGCCAAGTTCAATGAGCTG